CCCCCTCTCCCTCTTATTCCCCAACTAACACCCCCTTCCCCCCAGCGGTCTAGACTTCACAGCCTCCGCCCTCTCCCTCAACATCTCCTCCCCCTCTTCAGAGGAGCTATCCGCCTCATTCCGCACCGCCTACGCCAGCACCCTAAAACCACACCATAGTTTCATGGTAAAGCCCATCTTTTCCGCCGCCATGTCAGCCTGTCCTTATCGTAAGGATTTCTACGTGAAGTTGGGGGAGGACGAGGCGAAAGTCGTGGCGGAGATGAAGGTCTGGTTGGGTGCTTTGGAGAAATTGTTGGGGATCTTGAAGGCGTTTTTGGAGAGGAAGGAGGCGAAGTGGTAGGGTGGGTGGGATGCATAGAAAAGGGGAGGAGAAAAGCTCTCGTAGCGTTATGATTAGATGAATTCAATGATGATGGATGGCTTTTTGCTTTTGACTTTTGACTTGATCCCAATCTCTCCTTTCACATTCCTTTCCTTGGAGCAACCAAGACAGTAAGTAGATAGATCCCACACTTCTCACACAACAAAGGCAATGCATACAGTATCAAAGCCACAAAAGATTCATTTCTATGCAAGGAAGCGAAAAATTTCCCCTCACTGTATCCTGCCCATATGTGCTAGAAAAAGCCCGAGGCAAAATAAAATCCACAACATGCCCCAATTCCCCAATTTTGCCTTTCCCTTTGCATTTGCATTTCATTGCTCCCCTTCCTCCCTCCCTTAAAACAAACAAAGTGACAAACTCCTTTGGATGGGAAAAAATGTGCCTGCCCGAATTGTGATTTCCGCCGCCAACGCCATACTAGATGAACAGAACTTGACAAAGTGGAAGAAAAAGAACAGAAAGGAAAAAGCAAAGCAAAGCAAAGCAAGCAATCATTCCCGCATGCCTATTTTCACTCTGCCCATAGTTTCAACAACACTCCTAAATACGCCGAAATATACCTCTCGGTCGAACTCCAACGAAAGCACAGCTTTTTCGGAATGCGTACCGAATATCCCCTCGAATGAACGCCTTCCTCTTGACTTTGGCGACATGTATCTCTGGCACACTTCCCTTTTCGAAATCATTCTCCAGATACTCTCTCATGGGATTGAAGATGTTGTCAAACTCCGTCGACTCCATGACCGGCCAGGGAAACTTCTTGAGAGAGGTTCCATTCTCACCGGGCCAGACAGAGGTGCGAAATCGGGTCTTGCCTCTACTCGTGTAATCGAATGCGATGATGAGTTTTTGTAGAGAGGGGAAGACTTCTTTGATTCGTGGTTGGGGAGCGTGGCCGTGGATGCCGGAGAGGAGAGTGATTAATTGCGCGCGCTCGGCGTCGAATGCTACTGTCTGCCATCCCTTCATGGTTCCCGCATAATCAGCTTCCTCCTCCAACAAGACAAACATCATGAATAATCCCATCAAGCTATTCAACAACAACGTATCTCTCTCCGGGTGGAAATAAAATCTCAATATCCCCTTCCCCGTATTCCCTCTCACCGGGTCGAACTTCATTAATTGATAGTTCTTCAATGCGATGGCTCTCGACTCGCGATTTACATGAAAGATGGCGGGTGTTTGACTACTGTTGGAGCGGAAGGTCATTCGATCGTTGTATAGCTTTGCGCAAGGATGTAATTCATGGACTCGGTATTCGAATGATTCTTCCCAGATCTGCATTCGGATCTCAGCGGGCAGGTCCATGAAGCGCGGAAATCGAGGCGGTGGTTTCTTGAAGATAGTGGAGATTCGCTTTTGCGCTCGGGTGATGGTCAGGGGCGGTGGTGGGAGAGATTGTGGTCGTGGTTCTCGTTCTCGCTTTGTAGATCGAATGGTTTCATCGTTGCCCACTGCTTCTGCTATCGCCGAGCGTGTGATATCTTCCTCCTTCGTCATGGTGGATGTTGGGTTGTGATGGTGGTGGGTATCGTTCAGCTTGAGGGTCGGAGAGGTTGGAGTCTCGGTCGCTGATAAGGTGTGGCGATCGTCGATTGAACAGCTCAGCTGGAGTATCAAATAATGGATCGCTGAGGACGCGGATATACGAAAGTACAGATTGGAGATGTCGGGAAGGTGGTGAATATATAATCGTAGACAAATGGACCCAAGGAAATGGAGAGGGCTGAGAAGTAGGTGGTAGGTCGGCGCTCTTTGGGAGTGGAGGGTCTTGAAAGTTAAGAGGTTGGCCAAGGACGCTGGGTTGTGCCTGCCTGCCGCTGGGTCGGTTGAGAAGTGAATGCGCACGCAGAATTAAATGGCCAGCCCTGCTTGACCTGTCGTTTGCGGGACAAGAAATCGTGGATTTGATGACAACGGGAAGGTGCGAAGTGGGAAGGAGGAAGGAGGAAGGAGGAAATGGGGAGAGGGAGAAGAGCCGCCTGAAGTTGTCTTTGGAGGTTGCAGTTGCTCAGCAGCGCTGTGTCAGTGGGTCGGTACGAGTAGTGGGGTGGCCTAGGGCGGCAATCGGATATAATGCTGGCTGGCCTTTGTGCTCGCTAGATGCCAGGTACACAAGACAAATGTGGTTGTACATACGAGTGAATGTTAATTTTTAAATTAACATAAACTGCCGTACTTATAAATTAGATTCCTCGTCTCTAATTATGGTATTGAGTGAATAGCGACCTCCTTCCTTACCCTACCTAGACAGAATGAGCTGGGCTGAACTAATACGCTTGCTACCCAGTTCTTTTGTCTAAGACAATCTAACAAGTCGTCATAATAGGTCTTTTTTCTCACATGCTTTCACCAACACCTTATCAACTACAAGCAATAAGAAGATTCCAGATTTCACTCTATAACTCATCCAACTTCCTCTTCACCATCCCACAAAAGCTCTCAAAAAGCACAGAATCTACCCCCTTAACCCAGCGAATCGTAACCCTCCTCAAAACCTCACCCTCAACCACTTCCCCACAATAGATCTTGACTCCTAAAGCCGCTTCATCCACATCCTCATCCATCTTCGTATCCTCAGATCGAGCAGTATTCCTCCTCGCAGCACGGGACCATACAGCCTTTTGAGCGAACCCAAGGCCCGTCAGGATTGAGGCTTTCCACATCCATCTCATAGGTAGTTTCGAGATGATATCATTAACATGCTGTCCAGCTTTCTGACTATCAACTCCATTTCCAAGCTATCCAACAATTAGCATTCCCAAAATGACCAGTGACCAGAGGTAAACACACCATAACATAATACTCACACGGAAACGGCAATAGAGCCCTCGACAACCCAGCCACCCCCCTCGCAACCTCCATCCTCGGTCTCCAATCCCCAAAACTCCACGCAACACCCCACCTCCTCGTCTTCCTTCCCTGGACAAACTCCGTAACGGCGAAATTCTGAATACCCTCCTCCTTCAGCCTCTCCACAACCTTCGTCACACTTGCGAAAATCCCCAGCATGGAGGAGTACCATCGCACCCTTTCTCTGAGCTGGAGCGACTCAGTGATCATCCGGGAGACGAAAGCGACTTCTCCACCGGGCGTGACCATTTCGGATTCGGAACCTGTGCAGGCTGTGAATGGTTGGCGTTGTTTGAGGGAGGCTGAGGCGAGCATTTCGGATTTGGAGGCGTAGAAGGGGGGATTGCAGATTGTGAAGTTGAGGCTGTCTTATTAGCATCTCCTTACCACAAAAAACGTCTCTATCAAAGTAAGAAAGAAGAATGTAATAACATACCTCTCAACCCCCAACCTATCAAGAGGAAACAACCCCTCCTCTCCAACAGTATTCACCATCCTAATCCTCTCCCCAAACCCATTCCGTTCCACATTCCCCTTCGCAAACTGCAAACTCAACTCATCAATATCTACTCCCATCAGCAAAAATTCATATTCCACATCCCCTCATAGAGTACACAAACCCGTAGCCACAAACTTCCAACCCGGACACTTCGAACACGCAAGCAGGGGATAAATACAACACGACCCCGTGCCTACATCCATCCCCACCACCTCTCTGCTAGGATCAAACTCATCCGTGAAGCCCTCACTCGTCGTCGAAAGGAGGTCTTGGATCCATAGTAAGTAGTTGAGACGATTTGGGACCTATTTTTATGAGTCAGAATATTGGATTTTGGTAGCTGGGTATAAGCCCAGGTTAAGAGGTAAGAGGGAGAGGGAGGAGGTATGGGAAAGAGGAGTTAGATAGAGGCACAAACAGGCGGACAAAGCCTCTCCCCACTCAACTCAACAACCACCCCAAAATCCCTCTTCAGCAAACTCTTGGTGAGTTGCTGCACCGAAGCCGGGTTCGTGAAGTCGAGTTGTCCATTGGGTTTTAACCTATCTCTTCGTATCAGCTTTTGTTCTTGGAACACCACGTCCTGTTATGTATTATGAAAATTACTCCTTTATCGTGATGTCCGATATTCAGATATAGAGGGGCGAAGAAGGAAGGAGGAATTTAGGTGGTTGAATTCTTACACTTTCGCGAAATCAGCGTCTTGGAGTGCGAGTGCGGAGAAGTCTATATCGTCTTTGTAGGGGTTTGTTAGGTGGGACATTTTGGGTTTTTGTTTTGGGTGGGAGGATGTGAGGTTGTGAGGTTGTAGGTATTGGTGGTTGTGGTTTGGCGAGTGGTAGATGGAGGGTGTTTTGCGGGGGGTGGATAGGTGGATTCTTGTCACATGAGGGTCAAGTCTTGATTCTGTCTACTTGAGTGATACTTGAAATAAGAATTCTTTGGGGGTTGTGGTTAGTTCAAGGGTGGGTATTTGTAAATGTTGCATTAATAATATACAAGTTTGTACTATTGTTGGCTGTCAATGCATGGGTGGGTGAAGAGCGAGTTGGATGTCAGACAAGATGTAGAAGGACCCAATCAATATTTCTCTCTCAAACGTTTGGCTTATCAAGTAGTTATTCTGACTACCTAGACAGCAAGTACGATAGTCCCAGGCGCCCTGAATTACTACCTAGGTACGTCGATGTTTGTTCCTTAGGTTGACCCAAGTTCTGTATAAATTCTGTTGTACAACAAGCCAAATGGAGGCAATCGACCAACCAACGCCAATACGCCGATATAATGTTGCAAAATGAAGTCACTCGTAGATTCCCCATCTATTCTTGCTCTCGGATTATGTAGTCTACTAAGTGGTTTCGTCATCGACCTTTACTGTTTTGTCGTCCTTTTTCGAAGGTGGGCCATTCTCTGCTGATTCTCCTCCCTCGACTTCTTCCCAATCATCTTCTTTTTCTTCGGACAAGTCGTATTCTGTTGCAGGAAAGAATTTGCTAGGTGAAATTAGCATACGAGTATTTTACTCCACAGTAAAACTTACGGAAGCCAGTCATTGTAAGCATCAACATCCTTTGCTGTAAATGTGCAGAAGATGACCTTTTCCAACTTCTCACCATCTTCACCCTCCAAAAACTCCTTTACCGCTTGAATGGCAACAGGAGCAGCGTCATCACTTGGATAACCATAAACACCAGTGCTCAGAGCGCTAAACGCAATGGTCTTGCAATCATTTTCCACAGCAAGCTGCAAACTCGTGGTATAACAACCGGCGAGATCTTCTTCGCTCTTCTCCACGTCACGATCATTGTAGATTGGACCAACAGCATGTATGACTTTTTTGCAGGGGAGCTCGTAGGCGTTGGTGATTTTGGCGGAACCAGTGTCGCATCCGTCTAACTTTCGACATTCAAGATATAGATTACGTCCGGCAGCTCGGTGGATAGCACCATCTACCCCTCCTCCTCCAAGAAGAGAGTTGTTAGCTGCATTGACGATGGCATCGACTGCAAGCAGTGTGATATCTCCTTTGATGAGGCCGATTCGGTTGTTGAGGGATTGAGAGGGTGCCGGCGTGGCTTCGGCAGGCTTCGAGGTGGAGGGGACGAGTTTCTTGGATTTGTAGAGGAGAGATACCGAGGGGATCTGGGAGGCGGAAATGATAGACATGATTCTTTTGGTTCTGATCATGTACGATGACAGAAATGAGGAAGTCTGTGAAACTTGAAGTGTTTCCGGATGTTGAAATCAAAGGTGGGAATTGGAATGGGAATGGGAATGGGAATGTTGAGGCAGGAGCTTCAGAGACTAGATTGCGGGGTATTAGTTCCCTGAGCTACAGGGAGCTTCACCCTAATTACGATGGAGCACCACCCCTGTCGGTTGTGGACAGGCCTGAGTCATACCCACTTTTAAAATCAACCCCTCCAAGAAACCGATATCTCTGACTCCAACCAACGACCCCACCAAGAACCTACAAAATCCCTTGATACCGTCATTCAATTCCTTCACCACAGACCAGAAATACATTCTGAGGCCCTAGAGGATCTAGCAATCATGGCGGACGCCATCACCGAGCAAACGGCGAAACTCCAACTCGATGAGGAGACGGGGGAGATGGTCTCTAAAGGAGAATTGAAGAAACGACTGGCCAAACGCGCAAAGAAGGCCGCTTCAGCAAAGGCAAAGGCAGACTCGCCTCCTAAAGAAAATGTTCCCTTAAAGCCAAAAGCCGCAGAACCCAAAGCAGAGCCCATGAATATGTTTGCTCAGGGCTTTCTTGACGATGTCTATAAGGAGCGTCCAGTAAAGCCAGTCGTCACACGATTCCCTCCCGAACCCAACGGATTCTTACACATTGGTCACGCAAAGGCAATCGCTGTCAATTTTGGATTTGCAAAGTACCATGGCGGAAAGTGCTATCTGCGATTTGACGATACCAATCCGGAGGCGGAGGAGGAAAAGTACTTTACTGCGATTAAAGAAATGGTCAAGTGGCTAGGATTTGAACCTTGCGCAATCACTTATTCCAGTGACAATTTCCAGAAACTTTATGATGAAGCGGAAGAGCTCATTAAGAAGGAGGGCGCTTATGTGTGTCACTGTGGGGGTGAGTAGGACTCATAATGTGACTGAGCAATGCTAACCACATCGCAGATGCTGAAATTAAAGCCCAAAGAGGTGGAGAAGCACATGGACCCCGATTTAGATGTGAACATGCGAACCAAACTGTGGACAAGAACCTGGAGGAGTTTCGAGGAATGCGAGATGGGAAATACAAACCAAGGGAGGCGTTTCTACGAATGAAGCAAAACATTGACGATGGAAACCCCCAGATGTGGGATCTCGCTGCTTATAGAGTCTTGGACGCCTCACATCATCGAACTGGAGATACCTGGAAGATATACCCAACTTACGATTTCACTCATTGCTTATGCGATAGTTTCGAGGGCATCACCCACTCACTGTGTACGACCGAATTCATTCTATCGAGGGTTTCATATGAATGGCTGAATAAGAAGTTGGAAGTCTATGAGCCAATGCAGAGAGAGTATGGTAGATTGAACCTGACTGGAACCGTTCTTTCGAAACGAAAAATTGCCAAGCTGGTCAACGAGGGTTACGTGAGAGGTTGGGATGATCCAAGACTGTATACCTTGATTGGTATCAAAAGACGGGGTGTTCCTCCAGGAGCAATTCTTGACTTTGTTAGCGAGCTTGGTATTACTACTTCTCCTACCAACATCCAAATTGCACGATTCGACCAGACAGTACGACGGTATCTCGAGCGAACTGTGCCTCGGCTGATGCTGGTTCTTGACCCTATTCCAGTTGTAATTGAGGATGCAGAAGAAATCGAGGTCGATATTCCATTCTCTCCAAAGATTCCAGCGATGGGAAGCCACAAAGTCAAAATGACAAAAACGGTTTACATCGAGAGAAGCGATTTTCGAGAAGTCGACAGTAAAGATTACTTCCGACTTGCACCGGGAAAATCTGTCGGACTTCTTCAAGTGCCATACCCAATCAAAGCGGTATCATTCACGAAAGACGGCGATAAGGTTAAAGAGGTTCGTGCTGTTTACGATAAAGAGGGGAAGAAACCAAAGACATACATCCACTGGGTAGCAGAGGGATCACGAAATGTCGAAGTCCGAATCCACAACCAGCTTTTCAAGACCGAGAAGCCAGAAGATGCAGAAGGCGGTTTCTTGAATGATATTAATCCTAACAGCGAAGAGATCTGGGCTGGGGCTATGGTTGAATCTGGATTTGAGGAAGTGAAGAAGAGAGCTCCTTCGCCTGAAGCTGCGGGTGAATTGGAGCTTGGGAAGGGAGGTTTGGAATCGGTTCGTTTCCAGGCTATGCGTGTTGCTTATATGGTACGTATTTTCATTTTCATTCTTTCCTTTCAACCAGGTTTTTGGGGCTAGTCTAACTTGCTAATTATTATTGATAGGCCGTTGATTCGGATAGTACGGATGAGAAGATCGTCCTGAACCGTATCGTTAGCTTGAAAGAGGATTCTGGGAAGTGAGATGCAGATAGAATTACATACCCCCCATAGTGCCATCGAATCAAATATCTTGAAGCCTCTGATAGTGCATTTTTGTTATAGTATTATAGAAAGATATATATATGGATAGTATGGTAGAAGTATCTCGGGTACTATAACATTACTTTTCTCATTCTCTTTCGATTTCCCTTTCCCTTTGTTTTCTTTTTACTAGAGTAAATATTTTTAAATGATAAAATAAGGATTCGAAGAATTCTAATAAGGAGAAAGGTAGAAAACTATTATCTCCTCCGTGCTACGTGTCCCGCGAGGAATGTATTTGACCTAATTAGGGGTGTATAAAGTGGTTTCTAGGAAACCTTATTAAGATACTCTATTTACTGTAGTATTATATATAACTTTTATAAAAGTCGGGAGAGACTAATAGAAACTTGGGAATATTATCTTAATTTAAAGTACCACGTAAGAATTAGAAACTCCGACCGTAAAATCCTTTTAGCTCCTAATATAAAAAGAGACGCGTTTAAATTAGGGGCTCGCTAAACACGAAAATTCATCTTGGCGGGACACGTACCACGGAGGAGATACACGTGGAAACTTGGATTACTAATGGAAATGGCTTTATATTCCAGGGGTTTCTTTGGGGTTTTTCTAGAATACTGTACTTGTTGTGTTAGGGTGTTGTGGGGGAATAGTGTACTCGAATGTCTTATGGCTATGGCTATGGATAGATACTTCGGGACAATTACTTGAAATGTCTTAGGATGGTTGCGAGCTTAGGGTGTTTTAGTGGTTTTGTCGGACAGAATTCCGCACTTGCATAGCCGTACCAGAAGCCTCTTTCGATGATCATTGTTTTGGTTTGGCTATTGATTGTTCTTTTATTCTTTCCATCTCATCATGTTGTCGTTTCAACGACTTACGTATAGCTCACCTAAGATGGAATTTCTAACCGAAGAGTGATCATTATTCGGTCCTATGAAACATTGAACCCCTAATTCCGAATGCTGACCCTGTAGCCGAATCAAAGCCGAGAACACACACACCGACCGGCAATCATAACCCCAGAAGAGGGGTTGTGTTGGTTGTGTTGTACCAGTACTCTTCCCAGCTTATCTCGTATCCCCATATCTTGGGAGCTCACCCGCAATATTGTGTTCACCTCGGGTACCTGTGTACTGTACTTGTACAGTACAGTATCCAATATGAAATGTCAGTAACCGTTAAAAACTCCCAGAAGGATGGGGCTGAGAATCTTCAAATGGCAGAATATCAGATTTTGCTTCTGAGCACTAGTGACCACTCCCACTTGACGTCTGCCCAGGAAAAGGCTGAAAAGCTTAGTAGTCCTTGGTGAAGGCTTGACAACGCTTGAACCAGTGCGGGGAACTTGGTGGGGATGGGGCGGGGGAACCATTCCAGCTTCTCAGCGTATCACGAACTGAGGACAAAGCCTAGATACGCAGTCGAACGGCACAGAAGGCGGAGAAGCAACGCTAGTTTATGGCTACCCCGGAGTACCGTAACATTTTATCCCACCTTTCTCTCCCAAAAGATACCAGTTTCTCGACCGACCTCATGCATACAACCATGCTGGAGATACGTTGGATCCTATGGGTTGAACGCCACGAAGACAAATCGATACTTCTGAATGGTCGAAAGTTCCTCAGTGTGACCTTTGATCGCCAGAAATTATCAGTTTGGGGCTAGACTGAGTGCTGTCAAAGGTTGCAGCCAGTCAAGTGATTGGCACTTGCCTTTCGGGAAAGAAGTATGTAAGTGGCAGAAAATATTAGCAGGGGAGGGAGGCGAGAAAATAAGAGGTAGGTAAGTACCGGACTCTTACCCTGCCAGTAATATTCTACGGAAATCTTTACTCACTTTTTAACTTGTTACTGAGATATTCTTGTCAACTGGGATACTTGCGTAATCGAGCTTGACGTCAAGCTCAGCTCCACAACTCTCGGAACTAGTTACCCATCGCAACACTAATGTAAACAAAATAAATCGCATGTGCTTTTCAGACCTGGGCGGAAATTCAGCACTGAACGGTTACAACGGCAATTGTATCTTGAAGACTTTGTGGTGAAGTGACTGGCGCGGAGTGTAAGTCCACTATCTTCGATAGATACATATCACCACGATTGGAACTACGGATACTAATATATTTTCTCAGTGCCAGTAACATACCACACCATGGCGGATTACCATGATAAAATGGAGACTTCTCCAAGTCGAGATCCAGCTGTCCATGAATCTCTTGCTCCTCGAAAGATGACCGCCGGTGAATATGCACGAACTCGATTTTCCACACTCAAACCACCTATGCATAAGGCACCCAATCCAATAAGGCTTCTTCGATTGTTATCTGGAAAACAATGGCTCTTCTTCCTCTGTGGTTTTATAGCATGGGTACGCATATTTTGTTTTTGAGTTGGAGTATTGCTAATGATGTTATAGAGTTGGGATGCATTCGATTTCTTCACCGTCAGTTTGACGGTCGAGGATCTTGCAGAGGAATTTGGAAAAACTAATACCGACATTACGTGGGGTATTACTTTAGTTCTGATGTTCAGATCTGTCGGATCAGTCATCTTTGGTCTGGCAGCTGATCGATACGGAAGAAAATGGCCATTCGTTGTCAATAATATTCTCTTCATCGTCCTCGAGCTCGGAACAGGTTTTTGTAACACGTTCAAGCAATTTCTTGCCTGTCGTGCATTATTTGGAATTGCTATGGGTGGTTTGTATGGAAATGCAGCCGCGATGGCATTAGAAGATTGCCCCGAAGAAGCTCGTGGAATAATTTCTGGAATGCTCCAACAAGGTTACGCATTTGGATATCTTCTCGCAACAGCGTTTGCCAGAGGTCTTGTGAATACCACCTCTCACGGATGGCGTCCACTGTTTTGGTTCGGTGCTTTTCCACCTGTTTTGATTATCATCTTCCGACTCTGCCTTCCCGAGACAGATGCTTATCTTGAGCGGGAGGCTGTGCGCAACGAACCGGGTAATATTGGAGGGACATTCGTTGCGGAAGGAAAGGTGGCACTTAAGCGTCATTGGCTTTTGTTGGTATACCTTGTCCTCTTGATGGCTGGTTTCAACTTTATGGTGAGATATATACTTCCTATCATTTACAAACACGCATGCTAACGACCTATTTTTCAGAGTCATGGATCACAGGATCTTTACCCCACCATGTTGAAGAACCAATATAATTTCAGCCCTAATGCCGTCACCGTCACACAGGTTGTTGCTAATCTTGGTGCCATGACGGGAGGGACCGTAATTGGCTACTGCTCACAGATCTTTGGTCGGAGATTTTCCATTATTTTCATTAGCATTGTTGGAGGTGCTCTGCTATACCCATACACCTTCACTTCAAGCAAGGCCGTCATTGCCGCTGCGTTCTTCGAACAATTTTGTGTCCAGGGTGCATGGGGTGTCATCCCAATCCACTTAATGGAGTTATCACCTGGTTCGTTCCGTACCTTTGTGGTCGGTACATCATATCAACTCGGTAACCTCGTTTCATCCGCCTCCTCGACTATCGAATCAACAATCGGTTCCAGGTTCTCTCTCCCACCCAAAGGCAAGACACATCGCTACAAGTATGGCCTGGTCATGTGTATTTTCTTGGGATACGTCTATCTCTATGTGATCGTCTTGACGTTTGTCGGTCCGGAATATTTGCGCAGGAGTTTTGTTGTCAGAGATGATTCGGATATGGATGAAGCGGCTGGTCACAATACCATTGAAGCGGCGTTGGGGAAGATTCATCGTCGTGGACAGAATGGAAATGAGTCTAGTGATCGGGATGATGTGGATGCTATTGAGAAGGGAGGGAAAGCGAATGAGCATGCTTGATGTGATGGGTGCATGGATGTTTTTATGCGCGTTTTCTTGGCATTTTGAGTTGTTGCAGGTGCTTGGTGAATCGCTGGATGGATAGGAAGCTTTACGGTATTTTGACGATGATTGATAGTCTTTTCTTTCTTGAATGAAACCAAATCTACTTGATTTGGTAATGCTTCTCTGGAAGTGGTTGACTTGCAATTTTTGGTTCAGTCCGGCTTCTGCTGGCCCCCTTTTTCCTCGCTTGGCTCGCTTAATTGTGGGTATGGTTTAAAGTTTGTTTACAGTATCGTTACATCTCAGACACTTCAGATCCCAAGCATATTTCTAAAAAAAAACCGGAAATTCAGACTAAACATAAACTAAGTATCCTAAAAACAAAACCTTACAAAAAAGTAAACTCCTCACAAAAAATCCCACAAACTTTCAAATAACAGTAAGATCGTACAAAGTAGCAACTAACACAATCTAAGGAACTGAACCACCGGGAGGATCCTGACCTTCAATCGCGAACCCAGTAACATAAGCATAAGTAAACGGCGGCACAGGAACAAACCGCTGATCCGTCTGTACATCATAAAGACGTCCATTTCTATGCTGCGCGCAAGTCATCTCTGGGAGCCTCACATTCCTCCTACACTGAGTTCTCGGGTAGTAAGTAGCATTGCGCCATTGAAATTGTTGGCGTCCCGGAAGATTGTTGTCATAAGTGACACAGAAATTCGTGGCGCCTGGGACGCAAGCGATGGTTTTCTTGCATCGCACGCCGCTGGCGGTCTGGGCGTTGCAGCGGAGCGCTGCTGGTACGGGTGGTCGTGGGGGACGGGCGCCGGGTGGGTTGTTGGGATCGTGCAGCCAGCAAAAGTCGCCTGCGGTGCGGACTCAGTTTTGGCATGGGTTGCCGGCTTTGGTTGTGCCTGCGCATCTGATTACTACGGGTCCTCCTCCTCCTCCTCCACCACCACCTCCATTGTCTCCACTATCGTCTCCGCTATCCTCTCCACCTCCACCTCCCCCTGCCCCTCCCCCTCCTCCACTATCTGCTCCATCGTCTCCTCTATCATCTCCTCCATCATCTCCACTAACAGCTCCATCGTCTCCTCCCTCTATTCCCCCATCATCTGCTGTATCGTCTCCTCCTCCTGCAACAGATTCTGGCTGTTCAACTTCTGACGCTGACCCTTCAACCTGGGATTCTGGTTTATCATCTCCACTACCTCCTCCCGCATCACCGCCATCTCCTCCATCTCCGTCATCACCGCCGCCATAGTCCCCTCCATATCCATCATCGCCACCATAATCCCCTCCAAATCCATCATCGCCGCCATAATCTCCATCATCTCGTCCGTCTCCCTCGTCTCTCACATCTTCCCCGTCTCCCCCGTCTCCTCCATCTTCCCCGACGACCGGTATCGCAACGGTCGCACCTGTCTCAACTGTTGCACCTGTCTCAATCGCACGTCTCAATCGCCCTTGTCTGTTGCTCCCACCAGTCATCAGAATCTTTGCGCTTCGCAGCTCCCCATTTCTCCGCTTGATCTATTTTCATGTTAGTCTTCTCTTTCAAGAAATTCGGTGAAACAATCCAGTATAACTTGAGGTGTTAAGTGAGAAGATTTAGCACACAACCTCTCGCTTAAAAGCCGAAAAGAAATATTCAGTTTAACTTACCCACATATCCTTTCGCGTTGGGATCTTTGACCGAAAAGAGAAATTGCTCTTTTCGCCATTCGTATTTTGGAGTGTTTTTGGCCTTTCGATAACCTTTGATCTTTTTTTGCAATTCCTTCTCCTTGTACTGATGAGCCCAGGCACGGCCCATTTTCTTTCTCTGTTGTATTGTCGCTGAATACATTTCAGTACCGTACTCTTTGTTGTACCAAGCGAGCATGCTTTTGAACCATTTGAATTGGCGGCCAGCCTGCTTTGCACGTTTCTCAGATAACTCATGCAACACGTCTAGAAACTGCGTTATCGCGCGCTTGATATATCCTGCTCTGTCAGCGATATATTCTCCATCCATGCCTTGCTTGGGTCTGTTCTGAACCGCCTCTACCGCAGCTGCTAGCTTGCGTGCGTCTTCTTCGAGATACGTTTTGACGTATTTAGATGCTTCGAGAATTCTCTTCGGTACTCCTGGGATAGGATCATTGTTTTTCTTGAAGATTTCGTTGAATTTCTTTTTCTCTTCTGCGTCCCACACACCACTTTTTTCTAAGGTCCCCAAAGCTCTGTCTGCCAAGTTCTCATAATTCTTTGCCCTGAGGTACGCTCTTATGATTTGTCGAACATCTGGATCTAAAGTGATATTATTTAGAAGATTCTTCCCTAATTCCTCGGGATCCTTTTCAGGTTTGATTCCTTGCGCTTCTGCTGCCATGGCACCGAAATCTCCGTTCATGTAAAAGGGTTGATATTCATCGGGAGTGAGCCCTGCAAAGTCTTGTCTTATCGCTGCCATTTTATGGCGTATCAATCTCCAGCCTATAAAGCATCAGTAAATGTATTTTCAGTATAAAAAAAGAGTGGATTGTTAGTCGGGTAACAACGTTGGTCCCAAACGTGCAAGACAGGAAACCAGAGGAGCCAAGAAAAATGTGTTTTGCTTACTCAACCCTTCCAAATCACGAGGCAATGATCCATTTCTCCAGCCCGCTAGAAACTTATAGTTTTTGCCATTCAACTCTACGATGATATCGTTTACAAGAACAAGGCGTGGGTTATCTCCATCCCCTCCCTCTCCATCATTTTTCCATTCGATACTATCAGTAGCATCATATTGAAACCAGACACGACCAGTTCTATCCTGTTGTCCCACAATTTCGTAATCCATCGTCCAGACAACGGGAGCCGGACGATAATTCCTATAATTTTTCTTTTCATTGACATCTTTGCCATACTCTAGATCTGGAAAGTCCGCGCCAGTGAGATCTGAATCCGTTGCTGAATCATCAAACGCGACGTAGGAGTTCAAATAGTTAGACTCCCTAGACATGAGACCAATGGCCAGTCGACCGTTTCCAAGATCATGCGTATCAACGCCTTGAAAGTAAAGATTTCCAAACGTTGGTGATCCCGCATACTTTTTCGTTTGCTCAAGCTCAGTCAGGAACACTGGATCGCATCCGTTGGCGACGAAGATTTCTTGATCCTTGATAGTCATCCACGACTTGCGTTGGGGATACTTTGCTCGGAGTTCAGGAGTCACTTCGGCCCAGAAATCTTCAATGTCGTCCTCGAATGGACCTGTGATTAACTTTTGCTGTTTGCGAGAAAGAGGGGCCGTTTCTTTTCCTTTTCCCTTGGACTCGGTTCTCGACTTCTTTCTGGGCGGCTTATCGGGGTCTTCATCTTCGGAGTCTGTTAGGGGTCCTGATTTATTCTTGCTCGTAGATGACTTGGTTGGTGATTTTGGAGATCCCTTGGATGATGACTTGGACGTGGTTCGTGACTTGGTTGTTGACTGTGGCTCTACTTCGGGTGCTGTAAAGGACTGGTCCTTAGACGATGATGCCCTAGACGCAGATCGTGTCTTTGCTGGTGATTGAGAAGGCGATCTAGGATTTGTTGATTGTGTGGGCTCCTTGACTGGGGATTCTGACAAACCTTTGGATGAGGATTTGGACACGGATCGTGTCTTTGCTGGTGATACTGGAGGTGATGACGTTGTTGTGAATGGTAGTCGAATCGGTGACATGGCTGGGGACTTTGGCGAACCTTTAGCCAACGATTTGGATGCTGGTGGTGATCCGGTTGGGTTGGATGGCTTCCGAGTTGGTGACTTGAAAGAGGATTTTGGTGAACCTTTGGATGAAGATTTAGACTCCGTTCTGGCTTTCTTGGGTGGAGAAGGTTGAGGGGCGGCTGGACCTGCAGTGGATGGACCAGCTGCACCAGCTAGACCTGTTTCCTCATCGCCCGGCACAGATCTCTTCTTATTCTTGTCTCCGATGGTCCAAATAGATGTCATATCGAAATGCTTCAACCTGTTTAACAGGAGTTTTTATTTGAAACGCAAAAACGAGTGGTTTCGTGAGATGCAAGGTCGCAGGTAGCTTCTCGATTTTAGAAGTGGTCATAAATCTTAAAGTGAAAGAACGATATCTCTTTAGCTTAATACAACAAAGGAGTTTTCCGTTTGTATCTCTGCCACACTTTTACCAACGCCGTTTCTGGTAATGCCAAAGAAAACGAAACATTTGATTTCATTGTCTTCAATGTAAACCTCAAGCCCTAGCAACGAATCTTGTGGAGTGCGTGTAGGCCTAGATAGCGACTTCAGCAATGTGGTATGTTTTCCATTGTCTTGGGGTAGCGGAGGTGTGTTTTTGTTTCAATAATTTCGAAGTTAATTGATGCGTGCATTATTGTTAAGACTATGAATTACTTTACATTATTAATTCTAATCTTTAACTGAAGTAAAGAAATGCCATTTCATAGTATGATCCAAATAAAACTTATTCACTATTCCTTTCTAAACTTTAACTACCGAACTTAGTTGGTCAAGAAGTGTAAGGAACTTGAATTGATTTCGATTTTTGGTAACTTAGGTTTACTCCAGATATAATCAATCAATTCAATAACTAGCGAACGAAGTATACCAGCTCAGCTAGTTAAAATCCAACAATTTGACTTTCCAACAGTATTTGAAGTGGTAGACTAAATCACACTAATAATGACAAAGAAAGATTTGAATGAAAGAATAACAAGAATGAGATTTGACTGTTATAGGATGTGTTTTGCGTATCGAGGGTGACTAAGCAAGCTTGCATATATCGTTTGATCTATTCAATCACTTGTCTACAACAACAACAAATCCACTGATTGTTGTTACAAGCTTGTAAAGAGTAGTTTCTTATTAAGAGGCTGGTCGTTTCGTCAAAAATTTAAAGTATACTCTTATTTAACGTTTAATCAATAATTCAACAAGATATTAGCTCTATAATAAACGGGCTCTAGTTCGGGTGGCTTACTTCTACTACTACTATAAAGATAATAACAAAATAATTAATTACTACTAATTTAATAGGTGTTATAAGCTTAATTAATATTAAAGGATCGTCTACTTTTAGAGAAATATAATATAAAAATAGCGTTATTAAGATAAGAATCGTGAGTAAGAATTACGGCTATTATAAATAACCTACAACGACACCTTTTTTCGTAGATTGAATTTTTTGTTCTAAAACGCTCAATCTCTCTTACTCTCCCCTAATAAGCTGAATTCCTTCCATGGAGACTCCTCTAAGGAGGCCTCCGGCCACGCCTACGCCCCTAGGAAGGGGTATAGGGAAAGGGGGTGTACGCCCAATTCGTCCTCTCCCCAACATACAACAACAATTTGTCTCTGGGACCACTGAAGCTCTAGAACGTGGTGCTATAGGCCAAATCTTCTTTGGAGGCACCGCAGAAGCTGTAGACCACCACCTAAGTACTGCTCTTGATAGAGCACCTCCGGACCTCTTGCCCTACCTCAGGGCCTTTTGTACACAGGTGGCCGACCTTAGCCTAGCCTTTCACCGAACATACACCTCAGGGGCCCCGCCTCTACTACATTTAGCTCCTAGAGCCCCCAACAGGTGTAGGGACGACCCTACATCCCCCTCTCTGGCCCCTGTGGGAAAAATTTCTTACGCACAGACCATAAAAGATGCCTCAGCGGCTGATACAGCAACACCACAAAACCCCCTACCTCCTCCTGTCACTTCGAAGCTACAGAAGAACAAGAGATCCCTAGCCAAATCTGACCTCAGAGTCTTTATCCGACTACCTCTAGACGCTCCTGAAAGGAAACAGTCTGCTCCAGCTATCTACCTTGCTCTCTGCGACCCAAAAATTGGCTGTAGCGAGCTTGTACAAGAAGTACTGTCAGTTAACTCTGGCTTTGCTATTGTACCTAATAGCAAGGNTCTAGCTATCTACCTTGCTCTCTGCGACCCAAAAATTGGCTGTAGCGAGCTTGTACAAGAAGTACTGTCAGTTAACTCTGGCTTTGCTATTGTACCTAATAGCAAGGAAGCCCGAGCCAACCTCTTATCAACAAAAAAGGCCTGTTCCATGCAGCCAGAATAGAGGCCTCGCAAGACTGGGCAGTATTCCGTTTATCAGGGATCCCTCGAAGTGTTGAAACAGTCCAGATCAATGAAAAAGGAGCAATTATATCAACACTCATCCCTACTACTCCTAGTGTAGTTACTGCGGCTATAGAAGAGCGAATGAGAGTAATACCTACAAAGGTTGACATGGCTACGAGCTCTCTCTGACGGGCTGTTCTACACCTCTTGGATAGTATTCTCTGAGGAAAAGGACACAAGGGCCCCTCACACCATCCCTGAAATGACATCTCTCTTTGGAAGAAGAGCCTTCTTTAAGCGCCTTTCCTAAAGTCTCTACTGTTACACAGTGCTCTAAGTGCTGGATGTGGCATAACTCAAGGAACTGTGGGAAGAACCAGCGTTGCCGCCTATGCGGTACCACTAAACACTCTGAAGCCTTCCACCCTAGGTGTATTAGACACTCTCAGTGTAAACTGAAGTGCCTACACTGTAGTGGCCCACACGCCTCTGACGACACCACGTGCCAGCTCAGACCAAAAGCCTCAGGGGCTCACCCCTCAACCGAGAACAAGAGAGCAATCCGGCAAGCATGGAATGAGACGCGGATAAGAAGAGAGGAAGACTCTCCCTGCAGCAGCGTGGACACAGAAATGGACCCGGACCTACCTACTACCCCTCAGAATCCCCCCCCTCAAGCCAGCATAGATAGCCCTCTTACAGCCCCGTCTATAATCCTCCAACGAGCCAATAAGCCCCTTGCTACGACAGTAGAAGAGGCGTACTACGACCTCCCTAGGGAGAGAACCCCGGACATTAACCACTTTACTGTACTATGAGTAGACAAGGATTTATTAAGAACCACTGCCTCCAAGTCCTACAAATCAATGTACACAAGTCTAGCGAATACCAGGAGCTAGTACTACAATTAGCCCACTATAAGCGAGTCGATGTAGTACTAATTCAAGAGCCATATATCTACCTAAGAGATATCAGCCGCCAGATTACAAGACGCCACCCAAACTACGACTGTTTTACGCCTATATGCGAATAGAGCATGGATCCACCAAGAGTACCCACTTTTGTACGAAAAGGGGCTGGAATCCTTGCTAGCCAACGGACCCCTATCACCCCCTCGCTCAAATCCCGCGACCTCGTTTATGTTGAAATTCCACTCCCTCAAGGCCCCGCACTTCATATACTTAACGTATACAACGCCCCTCTAGGTGCTAAGGGAGCAGGTGAGGCTATAAGCCTTGTCCTTAGCTCTCACCATATCTCTACAACAAACCTCTTCCTAGCTGGGGACTTTAACTTAAAGAGCCAGCTCTGGCAACCGAACTTCCTTGGCCAAGAGAGTGCACAGGCACCCTCGCTTATCAACTGGATAGAGGACAGAGGGCTACAGCTTACTACCCCTCCTGGCACACAAACGCTTAATCTAGGGAACACTATTGACTTAGCCTTTTGCTCTAGCGGCCTCTATCAAAGGGGCACAGCCACAGAGGTTAACCTGGCTTTTAAGTGTGGTTCAGACCACCCTCCTATTCTTACTCGCCTGCCATGCGTGAGAGGCTTAACCGAGGGGCAGCCTCCTCTCAAGCTTAGCACTCTCGACCTAAAAGCCTTTAAGACAGCTCTAGAAGGAAAGCTAGAAGCACAATGGCTATACGAGATTCTAGAACAGCCATACATGGAATCGCTAGAGGCCCTAGCAGGATTTATTATTGAATGCGTACATAGTGCGTATGTCAGTAGTGCTAAGCGAGGCCTTGGGCATGGGATCAGACATCCATGGTGGAATGAGGGGTATCAGTCAGCGGCCACCGAGGCTAGAAAAGCTCGAAAGCTCGGAGCTAGCCCAGAGGCTGCGAAAGATCTTCAGAGGGCTCTGAGACATGAGATCCGGAAGGCGAAGGGAGAGCATTTCCGCAACCTAATTGAAAAAGCTACAAAGAGCAAGGATGTTTTTAAAATATGCAAGTGGCACCAGAGCACTGGGGTCTACAAGTCCCCCCCGTTGAAGGACTCGGCTGGCCAGCTAGGCTTCACTACTCAGGAGAAACAGAAGATCCTTATACAAGAGCTACTCACAAACAAGGCTGAAGTAGGGGACATACCGATCAACACCCCCACCACCCCTACACGCGCTCTACCTTGGGCAGCTCTTA